TGAATTTACTATTAGCATACAAATTTATAAAATTTTCTTTTACAAACATTTCATAAACGTTAATACAATTTAATTACAAGTTTTTTATCAAACATATCTGGAATGGAACATATCTGGAAAGTATTAGAGAAGATATAATGAAGTGAAAGGAGAGCGAAGCTCACACTTTACAAATAAACTGATTTATTACAAAGTTGTACATGGATACAAGGTGGCATATTTTTTTCTTATTATAAAAAGGACCGATCGTCCCGTCCGTTGCACAACATTCCGGCCAAAATTTGAAAAGATGCTTCCGGCCGAGACCCGACGAGATTATCGCCGACGAACGCGATATAATAATAATATCCCTTATAAATGTACACAATATATATCCCTAATTATACACAATGATTGGAATTATTTTATACATATGTATATATACAAATGCACTGTATATATATATGTAATAATAATAACCGTAATAATAACGCGAAATAATAATCATTTAATATATATATATATATTTTAGATTTCTTGATCAAAAAGTTCATTCGTATTTTGTTTCATTAATCATGTTTCATTATTAATTTATTTCTATAATTATTTTCATATATTATTTTCTCATTATTGACTTTACTGTAAAAATTATATAAGAAAAAACGAATGAATTTCTTGATCATCATATATATTAATTTTATAGCAGTCGTTACGCTTACACTCTAATTGGTTTCGCAATATATTTGCACAGATGATTGATTAATCAAATAATCTCATCTTTATACACACACGCATGTTTACAGATATTTATGTATTTGTACATACATACATATCATTGTAAAAAAAGTTATCCGCTAAATACATTGGTCAGTCTCACAATCGTTATTTTTAATATTTATGCAAAATTTTGTCTTTAATCTTTGCTTAAATCTCTCACAAAAGCTTCCGGATTTTCAAAACCTGAAAAAAATCTCAAATTGTAAAACATTTATCTTAAATGGAAATATGAATAAAAATAGATATATGTTAATATTTTTCTTATGATATACATATAAATATATCAGAGAATTATGCAATAAAATTGTACATTTTTACACTTTTTACTTTACTAATCTTTTTTTAAACTTGCTCAGACCTAGAATTATAACATTCTGTAATTTTAGATCTGAGAATTTAGGTCCAATATTTTATTAAAAAAGAATAAATCTATAAATATTAAAAATGACATTCATAAATGATCAAATTTTAACGTTTATTAAAATTGTAAAATTTTGAAGAAATAAATTTCAAATTTCAATAATTTATCATAAATTTAAAATATGTAAAAAGTTTATCCTAAATAAATTTATCAAATTTAAAATGTTTTTTTTAATAAGATAATTTGTACGTATAATAAACGTATTTTAATATAGATAAAATAATTTTCAAGTACTTTAAAGTTTTTATATAAAATGCTTCATCATTTATATAATTCAACTCTTTTTATACATAGATCCATTATTTTTATATTTTAATCATTAAATTTTATAATACAAATAAATCCTGAAACTTTTACAAAAACCGTGAGAGATTATACTGCACTTTCTAAATCATTATACTATTCATAGATTCTCTGTCCTTATACCATTATCGATTAAATTGTAACATGCGAGAACACGCGCCTTTAATTACAGCAAATACTTTATTATTATATATGTAAAATATGTATATTTTACAAATATATAGAAAATGCCCTCTTAAATATTGGCATGTATCAAAAATTTTGTGAACACAATCCGGTTGTGCCTCCTTATCATTATTATAATCAATTTATTATTTAGTGCATTTAGTCTATATCATAATAATAAATTATTATTACAGTAATAAGTAACTACACGTACTAAAAAACTTTACTTATTTGAACGTATTT